ATATTTCACCAGGGGCAACTACAAGACCTTGTGAAAAAGATGTGAATAAGGCGGAATAAAAAAAACAACATGTTTCTCGTCCGGGTTTTGAAAAAAAGGAGGAACGGGGCTTTTTATTTTTTATTTTTTATTTGTTTCAAGATGGCCGCCATTTAAAAATTTCCTGCAATTGTTGGTGTTTCCACTGTTCAAAGACACTTTTAAAAATGAAAGATAAGTTGGACAAGAGAACTGAACATATTTACAGTGTCATTTAGACTTGTATTGGTCTACAATTTATTTTCCGATGAATTTGTGGACGTTTTCTGTGTTTTTTTACTGCATTTTTCAAAAATAAAACATAATAAAAAAATCCAGGCGTCCTCCAAAAAGGAAGCGGGCGGGGACGAGAAACATGTTTGCTTTTTTACTTCGCCTAACTTCTTTTTTTTCTTTTTTTTAGCAAACTTTACTGAAGCAACATTTTGATGCAATCCTGAACTCGATTTACTTCAACTTGCATGTCATAACACTACAGTATTTTAAATAAATTACAAAGACTTGTACTGAATGAGTTACAGCAGTCAGTTTTCACTGCAACTGATCAATCCACTTGGCTTCATTGCCAAATCATGAAGAAGGATGCACACACTGTTGATGAAGTCCCTCAAATTTGCCTAGGTGCTAATATCCATGTGTGTTTCTCATCTTTCATACTATGACTTGCTAAAAAAATAATGTTGAATCTATCGGTTTGGTCATGTTGGTTGGTTTAAGTATGGTCAGTACATGTATGTAAGTGGTCAGGACAATGTCAATGGTTTAGAGTTGAATCTTGCCTACTTGACCTACAATCTCTTCAATTCTGGATTGTTATTAGTGTAACATACATGTACATATCTTTCTATCTTCAATTCGAGATTGTTATTAGCTAATGTAACATGGATGATCTTTCTGTCCTCTAATTCTTGAGCTGTGTCTTCCTTGTTACTGGCAGCTTTTCCCACAAACATGGATATTATTGTCACACTTGAATACTCATTGTTCCTAACCCCCCCCCCCCCCAGTCCCCACCCCTCCTTCCCAAAGCTATATTCCTGAGACCCCCTGCCTGGCACATACACAACAACATGGGCAGAATATAATCAGCCTTGAATAAATGGACATATATTTAATGGTAGATATATTTTAGAATCTGATTTGAAATTAAAATTCCACACTGCTTTCTGTAATTTTATCAGATCTGCTCAGTGGTTGGCATATTATCCTTCGGTACATGAAGGACAATTTAATATATGTCTTACATGAACTTGCCTGGGATGTGTGGAATTTTTTCCCCCTTGAAAATTTAGAAAACACAAAGACCTGTGAACTGCAAGGTAATAAATTGGCAATTCCACTGTCACTCACATTACATTTATATGAGGCTACTTTGACCTCTCACTGCTTTCAAAGTATTTGATCAAGAAACAGCCAAGCCATACAACAATCAATTCAACCCATTCAGTCTCTTTTTTTGAAAAAGTGTGTTTGTTGGTCTTCACTCATGTTACAAAAAAAAAAGGCATGGAAAATTTTCCTGCAATGTTCTCCTGAAGTCTTTTCAAACTGTAGTCTGCAACACAGAAGAAACATTGTTATATGTTTTATTGAACCCATAGCTAGATATAAAATCCCATTTTTAATAAAAACCAGTGTGTATTTTAAATGCAAGGGACATTAGATTACAGGGAGAATCGCTCACTCACATTACATCACTCATATTATATTAAGCCTGTTGCGGGTACCTGGGTACCCGCCCCCGGAGGCCAAGAACCGGTTCCATTTTATCGGGTCGGGTACCCGTAACCGAATTTATAAATTTCGACGCAACGTCCGAGACAAAAAAAACCACAAGTACGTGCATTCAAATATCACTAACAGAAGATTAACAAAGTTCAAAGTGAGTTTACCGACGATTCCAAAACTCCATTTCGCGGTTTATATTTTGTTTTCAGTTTTATTTAGACTATCTTTGATGCGTCTCCAGAAGCCCGAAAGTGGCGAAACACGATAGTATCAACCCATTGTTTGTGTTTGTAATAAAGCTTCTTGTAGCCGCTAGCCAGGAAATCATATTCTTTGATGCGCCGCAGATGGCGGGTAGTACCCATAACAAGTCCGTAACCTAAGATTTACAAAGTTCAAAGTGAATTACCGATCATTCACTGAAAACTCCATCTTGCGGTTTTTAGTTTGTATTTAGTTTTGTTGACTATCTTTGAAGTTTGAATTGATGTGTCTCCAGAAGCACCAAAGTTGACCCATCATGTTTTTAATAAGTTTCTCGTAGCGGGCCGCCAGGAAATGATCTTCTTTGATGCACCGCAGATGGCGGAATAAACAAACGATACTAAGTGATTGGCGTTTTAATTGCAGTCACGCACAATAAAAAAAGATGACAAGTTACTTTGCTGTGTCTGTGTGATTATTTCTTGTCCCTGACATTCCCTGTCTCATAACCTTGCTGTCCGGTGATCATCATGCCACGTTCAGGAAGTAGCCACGTTTGGTCACATTTTGAGAAAAAGTCAAAACTGTTTGTTAATTAATTGTTTTTCTTTAACCCAATTTTTTTTCTGATGTACGATGTCTCAAAGCCTGAGAAAGTTTTAAGGGCATTTATAATTTCCTATGATCGAACAAAGTGTAGATAAAAAATATACCTTTAACAACAAATGATATAATAAAAAAAATAACCGCGCGCCAATATTTTCTGCGGAACTGGCCAATCACAACGCACGTAAGAAGTATATAATAGACATTGAATTTGCAATTCCTATTTTTTGACTGACAAATCGACCATTTGCAAATCGGTATACCTGCACAGAAAGCATTACAGAACACAATGGGGTGTTTAGAAACGAAAGCACCTACTTCCGGGTTGGCGTTACTTCCGGGGTTTTGGGGGGGGGGGGGCTTTTACGGGTACCCGGGTACCCGACCTTGACCGGGAAAGGGTACCCGGTTCCAGTCAAAACCGTAAACAGACAGGCCTATATTATATGTACTTGCTCTTCATAGTTTCTAAAATCTGAATTTGATGAACTCCAACATCAATTGTGAAGCTCTTGTCTCATAAAATATGAACCTTCTCTCTGCCTTGAAAACAAAAATGCTTACATTCATTCAATTCAAGACACTTATAGTAACAAATGCATCCTCTTCCCTGCTATGTCTTTACACAGGCTAGTCGCCAACAATCAGATATTTTCAAGCAAGCACTTTGACTAGTCAAATTCAATCAATAACAGACAAAAACATGCAAGTGGTAGGCATAGCTGGCTTATCAAGTCAAAACATTGCATAAACAGTCACAGCCAGTCAATCCTGCTTTTATATAGGCTGTGAGCTCTAGCTGATCTGTTGAAAACAGCCACTTGATTGGTTTTGACAGCACTCAGACAACTTGGCGCAGAATGTATGTTTGCATAGGAAGGTCTTAAAAGTAGGTGCCAAAGTGACTACAAAAAATCCATGGTTTTAGCACAAAAGACAATTTTCTTGGACCAGAAAAATCACACAAAACTACATTCCATCCCACTGGCATATACCACTCAAATGAAAGATCTTGCATTTCTCCTTAATTTCACACCACATTTCTTGTTGTGATGCTTGATTTCTTAAATTTTCCAATTTCAGCCTTTTCCACTTTTGCATGGAATCGCCCATGCCCAATTAAATGTGCATAAAGGATTTCTTACTTAAAAGTGAACTAGATTGAGCTATGTGTGTATAGTGGTGTTCCCTAACGTGGCACACTTAGACCTTTACCCCGACTTTCCTCATGTAGAATTGCCAAACTTCTTTGTTGACAAACTTCAAATTCTTTCAGTGAAATACTTTTCCCTTATTAATGCGTGCTATTTAATCTCAGTGAACAATTTCGGTGTCATGAAATTTAATCCGAAATTCAAAAACAGAGGCATCCGGAAAATTGGGCACAAACTCGGCTGAGTGTTCCCTGACGTGTCGCACTTTAATAAATCTCGGAAAATTCCAAATTAACATTTAAGAATTTCTGTAAAGTCAATAAATTCTGATAAACCATTATTATCTCTACTTACATACCCAAATAGAAGTTTGTCAGAAAATTATTTTCTTATTTTTGGGGGGACATTTCAAAAGGTTCACTGTGCACTTCAAAATAAAATTGAAAAATATCCCCCGAAATAAATATTTCTTCTAACTTTGTAACGGGTAGATAAACTCGTGATTTATTGACGGGAGTGTTTACAACTTGATGAAATTTCACTTTCTGTGAAATTTCAGTTAACACTTTTGCTCCAGCTAGGCGCTACAGGCGAAAATCAAAGTGCGCCACATTAGGGCCCGCACCACGTTAGGGTACATCAATAATACTATTAGGTTGATTAATCTCCTATGGAAACATGCATTGTCAGCCTTGTTATTACTTGAGTCAATATTGGTCAAGACCCCCATTGGTTTGTACACAGTATGCCAGGAGGTGAGGAGGAAACTTTTGACTGTTTGTGACCTCTTAAATAGTAAGGAGGGTTAATCTAAACTTGAAAAACATTTTAAAAACGGCTGTTGTTACCATTTGTTTTCTACTTCGTAACTTTTGGCTGGAACCATTTGTCTTATCAGCCAATCAGAATTGAATTCCCAACTTTAAGTGTAAGGCATTTGTATATATCTATTACTCAACAATTGCTTCTGGAAATCTGTCTTTTTATTTGTACTTTGGAAAACCAGGAATTGTGATTTTCAGAATAAAATAAACTTGCAAAGCTTAGAAAAAGTGTAGTAAAGTTACATCTGGACCTGACAGTATCAATGAAAAAAGGTCAGATCAGTGTCTGCAGAATCTAGACATTTTATTGCATGTGCTGAAGCAGATTTGAAAAAAAAAATGGTATAAAACAAATGTTAACACCAGCCGTTCAACATGTTTTTTGTGATGTACCATTAATTGATGTTGAGAACACTTTGATAACTATGGATTTTTCCTCCATCAGGTGACTGATCACATGACTAGAGACGCTGGTTACTGGTGGACGATTCATCAGGCTCATCTTGAAGACTGCTGAAGGGACTTGGCTGGACTGGAGTGGCCTGTGTTAGACAAAAGCAAATCCATGGCAATGACAGCTCCCTATCCATCATGCAAGATGTGCATGCATCTTCAAAGGCCAAAATGTCAGGCTCTTATGAGAAGGTATTTACATTACTAAATAAACAGATGTCTGGATATTATAAACCCACAAACATAATGAAACTAAAGCAAATGTTAAAACTAGCCATTCAACGTATTTATATTTTTGATGCACAATCAGTTCATGTTGAAGACACTTTGATGAGTTTTTGTTTTTTCCCCTGTCAGGTGACTGATCACATGACTAGAGACGCTGGTTACTGATAGACGTTTCTTCAGGCTCATCTTGAAGACTGCTGAAGGGACTTGGCTGGACTGGAGTGGCCTGTGATAGACAAAAGCAAATCTATGGAGTTAACAACAGTTTATATCAGTAAAAGTTGCATTCCCAGTGCTGTTCAAGGAATATTTTTTTTTTCTCATAAATTTTCAATTTTTATGTTTGATATCCAACCCCAAAACTCAACTGGACACAAACAGATCCACTTTCTGAGCAGACTAACTCCCGGTCCATACATTATTATTAACGATTGTGAAGTGGGAACCAGCCTATACCCTGCAAGCACAAATTATTGTCGAGATGCATGTAATTCAATCTTTAGGCCGCTTTTTTTCGCATGTCTTATTCAAAGCAAATAACTTTTGTTTTGCCAAAAAAAAATTGCAATTGTTGAACACAAATCTATTTTTCAGGATGAAACTTGAAAATAGCACAGGGAATGCAACTTTAAACTTTAAAGAAACTTATATGGAAAATAAAATAAAACATAAATTGAAAAACAGTTGTTCCAGGCACATGTCACAAATTCAGAATATGTGTTTGAAATTATAGAAGAAAATTACACATTGCAAAAATTGTACAGAAGGAAACAGTGGTTTAAATTTTGGCAAGAGGCCTGATTACAGTCCTAACTTATTTCAGACTTGGCAGTCTTAACACGAATACACTCTGTATCCAAATATTTACACTGATAATTCCCTGACTCTTCAATTTGTATTAAAAGTGTTTGCACTTCAGGTCTTTATGGAACAAAATTTGAAACTATAGTATATCCTGTACACTCTCTTTAACGACCTTCACAAACATTACTTGACAAGAACCGTCTCAAAGGTTAGAACATTTTAGAATGTTTTGCAATAAGGACTGCTTTTTTTGTTGGTTGGTTATTTCCTAAAAGAAATTCAGAATTTGTTTGACGTGTGCCTGGTTCATAATGTTCAACTTGTGATAAATTGTACAATGAAAAAAAAACTTTAAATTTTTAATCTTAATATTTACCATGCTTTTAATTATATGGATCTACATGTAGAATGGCACATCATTATTTAGTAGTTGTGTGAATGTCTTTGATGTCTGTTACTGGTAATATTTCAGCAATTTAATTAAAGTTAGTGTATCATGTTTTTTCCCAAAATTTCGATTTTCTTTTCCTGAAAATAATGCCCTGCAACAAATAATAGGCCGAAAAAAAAAGTATTCGGTCTCTGGTCAGCGCGCGCGTCGATTTTAATCATGCGCGTCAACCTTTTTTTTCCCCAAAATGTTCCGCGGTAGCTCCAACAGCGCCCTCTATTGCCGCCCCTCCTCATTTTTTTTTACCAAAGAGCACCAAGGAATGGGAAATTGCACCAAGGCAAATGATCGAGAGCACCAAGGCAAATTATGGAGGACACCAATGTACATGAGGACACCAAAAAAGCGAAATAGTACCCCACCTTGTCTGTACAATCCAAGCTTGAAGAAAAAAAAAAAAAGCCACGTCCCCGCGTCAATTCCGGAACTTTGGTCTGACCAGAGACTGAATATTTTTTTTTTGGCCATAAGTTTGTTTTTTTATTTTTGCAGGCCTTTGATACAGTTAAAAAAATTGGTTTTAAACGGCGCGCTCTAGTTCACAAATTGCGCACACTATTCAGAACACATAGCGTTTACTCTTAATTAATTCAAAAGTTGAAATTAATTAATTGATTACTTGTCGTGCGCCTATTTTTGTTCGTGCAATGTCTCATTGGAAAGCTCATAACTAATAATGCTAGAACATCAATTCAATCTCAAAATCTATTTTGTAAGGTGCCACATCGAAAAAGCACATAAACACCAACTTTAAGGTATTCCATTTATAATAAAGTAAATATTAATTAATAAAATTGGAAAAGTTGTTTTTACACTGAGAATCCAGATTTTTGAAACTTGCGGTATAAAGCACACTCGTACGGTGGCAACCAAGCTTGGTTGAGAGATTTGTCTTGTTAAAAAGTCGCATGTGACTTGATCGATGTCCGCTACTTAAAATTAGATAAACTACAAAACCTTAAATTGTGTGGTTCAAAAAGTGATTGTATTCGCTGTAAATTTAGAGGAAGAAATATTACACAAATTCTTTTCTTGTGAGGAAAAACAATGCCAAACTTTAGCTGACTTTACTGAACATTTGAATGTACATGTACATCTAACACTTTTGTTCCATCACAAATTGAATAGATTTGACTAAGTTTTTATTAATGAAAAGGGTCTGTATTATGATGTGCCATTGTAGATCCATTTGTGACTTTGGTGTGAGTGTCTTTTATTCTTGACATATCTGCTGTCTATTACGCTTTGCGTTCATCTTTGTCATTGCGCATCAACTAACTTCAGGGGCGTAGCAAGGTTATTCTTTTAAAGAGCACTCGCACATCCATGCTGAAATATAGCATCTGCAGATGGAGGCGCCATTCAAAACAGAAAATTGTACACACTTACGGACAACATATGCGCTTTAAAGGGTGACACATGTGCGAAAAATATAAAAAAAAACACTCGTAATGGCTGCTGCAACAAAAATGGCGCAAGTATTTCTCTTTTTTAAAAGCACTTGCTCAAAAAAGGGGCACTTGTAAAAAAAGAGTGCCCCCCTTTTCTTAAATTGCTTTGAACACTAGTACTTGCGCGTAATAAAAAAAACTGCGCAACAGCGTCAAAATACTTTGTGAAAATTTGCTTCAAATTCGGTTAAAAAGTAGACAGCAGATGTGTTGACTTAATTTGAATCATGTTGGTGCAAGAGGGCGCACAAATTGAAATGTGATGAGTTAAACACCCCAAATTATGTGTTTCATTTTGAAAAAGTTACCCTCTGACTTCGTTAGAGAACAACAAAAAATCATCTATTTTTTAAGATGTTGAGCTTTTTGATCGTGATGCATGCAATTCTGTCCTTTTTTAAAAGACCCATTAGTTAAAGTTGCTCCCTGTACTCTTGAAGCAAATCTCTTTTTCCCGCAACAAATTGTTTTATTTTGATGACATTTTTTTCTAGGGCATCTGCAACCAGTTGGTAAAAAAAGGTTGCTTTTTTCACCTCTAATTTAGCGCGTAAAAAGATCTGCCTGAATTATTGTCGCGCCGCTTGCAATTCTAATATTTTCAGTATTGCTGATTAAAACATTATGGTCAATGCATGTCTTATTCCAAAGTAAAAAATAAATGAAGTGAGCCCTCTTGTGCCAACTTGATTATTTTTAAGTCAGTTTATTTAATAATAGAGGGCGTCCTCTATAGTTTGGACTTCCAATTTAATTTTTTTTAATAGTAAGCAGGACACAAGAGGGCGCCCTCTTGTGTGCCCTGCTTTACTTTAAAAAAAATTCAAGTTGGAAGTTCAAACTATAGAGGGCGCCCTTTTAATTTTTAAGTATAGAGGGCGCTATTTGATATAATAAAATACTAGAGAGGAGACAGCACTTTGTTTCATTGTTATTTATTGAAAAGACTGGCCAAAAAAAAAGCCCAACACATGCAAGTCCCCCCGAGGCGTGCACGCACGGTGTTCCCCGCCCACAGACACCGACAAGCCCAGCGAGTCGCCCGCTATCCACATCGACTCATGATCAGTTGATCTTAGTGCGCACTAACTCCCCAAACTTGCAAGTCCAAATATTCGCAAATGACTAAGTTAACTCCAACATGATAAGGATCCTTATGAACTTCGACAATCCGTTTACTTTTCTGACAAAGTCGATGCCTTATTAACCGTTTCAATTACAAAGTATTGCCATGGAAATTATATACCAACTATCACTCCAAAAATTGCCCAAGTAGAGATCTCTCTCACATCTACCCATGATTGTCTCACTCAACATTTCCATCGTTCACTGTTGCATCATGTTTCTGATCCATTTAAATGAAATGCAAAACAAACAGGCTACAATTTGCCAGCTTTCTCCGATATTTCCAACGCAATTAGATTTTAGGACATTTATCTCAGCTACCATTTACGTAAATAACTTCCACGATATAACTCTGAAATCTCCCTGCCGTTTAATCACATCAACATGTACATTGATCAGTTCATCTCATGAGTGTGTCATTTCAAAATACGTATAATTTGTAAGATTTTCACAAATAATTGTAAGTATTTGGTTTTGACGGACATGCACGTTTAACTTGAATTGGCAAGGACCAAAAAACCAATTCAGCAACTGTTTTACAGGAGGCAGACGTAACCTTTTAAGAGAAGTGACAATATTATCGTCAAATTTGATCTTCAAGCTCTAAAGCCTTGCCAATTTTGGAAAGCTTCTTTGTACTTGGGTAGTAAGTACTTGGGTAGTAAGTACATGTACATGCTGTACATGTACATGCATGTACATGCATGTACATGTACATGTACATGTTATGTACATGTACATGTACATGTACATAGCATGTACATACATGCTGTACATGTACATCGCATTTTCCATCAGATACACATGTATTCGACTGAATAAAAGTGTCAATTTTGATGTTTTCTGGCAGCACTGATACTAGTTTTAAGAACGTCAGATTTTGCAGACAAGATATAGTTGTGCCAAGTGAATTTAGGTTATTATTTACACTTTAATTTAATTAAATGTTTCAATTTGCAAGTTTGAATTCACCAAAGTTATCTTGGTAGGATTTACAGATTTTAAGAAGTGAGATTTTCTGCCAAAACTTCAACCAATATTTTGGTTGGACAAGTCCAATTTCAAAGCAACTTTTTTCTTTATCTACCTTGTACTCTGAAAGATAGAGTTTTTGGTATTCTCTTAGTAAATTTTGCGCTTAATTTTGTTCTCCCTTTTTCTGACAAAGTTTACGTACATTCTGTACAGTAAAAAGTCAATTTGTTATATGTCTCAAACAGTCCTGATGTATATGGGCAAATACACAACGGTTTCTTTCAGTGGAGAAGAGTGATCACAATTTGTTCTTTGTGCCATCATAAATATCTTCAACAAAGCTGTTGTACTGTGCACTCAATGTACATGTACATCATTTAATTTGTGCACTCGATGTACATGATGTACATGTTAATGTACGTGATGTACATGTTACAATCTAAAACAACCCACACATTTTGATTGGGAGTTTTACGAGAGAGAAATTGGTTGGACTGAAACACATTTGCAGGTTTTCTCTTGGATTTCTCTAGATTTCACACAGTGTTTCAATACTGAGTGATCGTTTTTTTCTTTTCTACGGACATCTGGCCAAACTCTTTTTTCAATACGCAATTTGCTCACTAAGTGATTGCTAGCCTATAAAGTTACTGACTCCGTACTTTTGTCAAAGGAGTTTTTTTTTTGGGGGGGGGTTTTGAGGGGGAGTATTTTGTTTTTTACTCCCCATTTTCAACCCGATGTGCCCTTCTGAAGAACCATGCTATTTCCTGGCTAATGTGCAGTGGCGTAGCTCATGGGGATGGGAGGGGCCTTCTAACATTTGGAGGGGGCTGTCTGTCCAATTGGACAAAATGGGATCTATCAAAATCCCATGCTCGGCCCATATTTTGGCCAACTCAGACGGGAAGCCACAAACATGGCAACTAGCCATGTACATTCAAATGATAATTTCAAATTTCAAATTTCATGTTGGCCCCACATGGACAATTGCATGGGCTTCAATTTGCCCCCTCCTGTTTTCTTGTGGCCCCTCCTTCATTCTAGCTACGCCACTGTTGATGTGGTGGCAATCTGCCCCTCAGCATCCTCAGAAGCTGTGGCATCATCATGACACAGGGACAGCCTTGTCCCGCCATGGCCATCCATGGTCAAGTTTAATTGAAGTTTTCATTAATTCATGCACTGTACAATGACAACATACATCCTCATCTGTTTTGCTTGCTAAACCCACATGTGTATCATGGCATTCGGAGTAAACATACAGGGCGAGGCAAAAAGAAAGTGACCTGGATTAACGATTTCTGTTCTGAAATTGATCCCTGCTACCAGAAGAACCTATTTTTCTAGCTGTCCGTGGAATGGGATATTACAAAAGCGGCAATCAAATACGTACAGATGAGATTTGAGTCAAGACAAACATTTGTACTGTCCGATTTTGTGAATTGAAGAACAAGTCCACTCTTATTTTCCTGATATACTGGTGACAACTTTTGTCTGTTTTCATTTGCAAGTTTTCGTTCATTCATGGAGGTAGGAAAATGTCCATATTTCATTTGATTTAGTAGAACAGCAAATGACTAATGGTGGACAGTTGAGTTTTGTGATTTTTTTTATTAAATTAGACATAACTTAGGAACAGAGTCCGGAAATTACGTGAAATTTTCACAGTTACTAGTCAATAACATGTACTTTATCCCTATGTTATTTGTATGAAATAGAGTGATCCAAACATTTTTTTCAAACATGTTTTTCTAATTTGGTCACGTTTTTTTTGACTCGCCCTGTACTGCTACATGTCTACATTACAACAGATATTGCACATTTATGCTCACATGCAAACCTAGGCAGGCCCCAGGACAAATTAACGGCAGTTTCTGAGATTGATTCTGAAACAAGACGCTTGCTACGTAGAAAGAATTTCATTGATGTTTAGGCAACGCACCATGCAAAACTGGGCAAACATCTAGGATTGTTTCTCCTTTTTTTCTCCTTTGAACATTCAAAGTGATGAAGTGGTATTTATACATCACAAACTGATGTCGGCCACAAATTAAAAATATTCTGCGGGTACATACATGTACATGTAGTGCCAAGGATTGGCAGAGTCATTTGTGGCTAAGATTTTCCTGGTTTTTATTTTTCATCTTTTTTCCTGATCTGTTCATATCAATAAGAAATGAGGCCCTGAATTTTTGGCCGTCTTATGTGGTCCCAAACCGCCAACTACATGAAATCAGATATTATTTAATCAGCGAAACTGCCATTCATTTTAAGATTTATCCTGGGACCCGCCCCTTACAACCTATAAGACAAGACCGACCTTTCACTTCGAAATGCTTAAAAACGTACTAAATTTACAGGCTAAACCTGTCTTTCTTGGGACAATGTTATATAATGTATCCCTCTTGCACTTGCATAGAGCCTGGTGTACCTACATGAGCTGAGATTCAACCCAAGCGACGTCAACACAATCGCTAAGTCCTAGTTATTTCAGATCTCTCTAAGTTGACCCCAGCAAATTTAGGTTTTACTGTGAGTTAGGAACATCATAATAATACCTTCTTGCAAAGATATTCCTGACAAAATTAAATGTACATACATGTACCTGTCCAAGTTGGCTATCAACTTCTTTATTTTGAATCGCATTGTGGTTTATAGAACAAACCCTATAAAGGCAAAAAAAAACCTTTTTCCAAGTGTGCTGACTATATTCCTCTGACTTAAAATCTGACTGTTTTTTTTGGCTAAAAAAAATGTAATTTCATTTGATATCCTGACTTGATCATTTAAGAGTTTCTCTTACTCATTAATTCAGCCTTGTCAAAAGTGTGTGGTTAACTTTATTTGTAGTGTTGAACACTTTAATTTGTAGAGGTGGGCACGTTTGTTTAGTTTAGGTACCTACATTTATAACTTGGTTATCTATTATATTGCTCAGATTTTTGACCCTACGTACAATTTTGTGTAATTTACATCAGGTTTTATTCACTGTTCACTGCATTAAACTACTCAAAAATGTTCTCATCGACGTTCTTCAGCAGAACTGACATGAAATGCAATGAATCATTATTTATGACGAGGAAAAAAAGATTTAAGATGCTACATGCCGGGCTCAATTTCAAAAAGGACATTTAAACCTTTGTGAAGGATTTATTCAATGCAACATTGAATTAAGAAAGTTTGCTGAAATTTAACTTTAGTAGACTTGTTTATATTACCTTTTAGCGTTTAACTTTTGTTTAAAAAAAAAAAGGAAGAAATTACTGAGATTGTTTGGTCAATTTTAATGAGATTTTAAGCGATTGCACATTTCTTACTGAAAGACCTGCCCTGCATGTGTACCTGTATTTTCCCTACAACCCTCTTAGTACTACTGAATCTAAACTTGACCTGAGCAATGACTAGGAAAACCTTTGACTTTTCTTTTTAACCCTTTAGTGACCTTAGCCGGCCGAGGCAGCGAGAACTGAATTGCCTGTAATGCCAAAGGAGGACCAGCATTCTTGACCTGTCTATCTTTTTTTCTTTTCTGTTCAGCTATTTTGGTATTTGATAAAAATCACAACTAACAAAGTTGCCTCGAATAGGAACTGTATTTTCAACTTGCAGGATTTTTGTCAGTTAGTTTAGCATTTGAATAAGTTGCAACTCACAATACCAGCCTTATTAGACAATGCACTTGGAGAACTAGCGTTGTACACTGAGAGAAGTGTGGTCACTAAAGGGTTAAAGCATGGAGCATAGCTAGTCTTCAGTCTGTGGCAATACCAACATGTGTCCTGAAAGATCTTCACCTTATTTGACAAATGACGCACAACGGTTACACCGTCATGCCAAAAACTATATTTCTAGAATTGTATTGGTTGAGAATCAGTCTAATTCTTTGAACTTTTGGGGGATGCTTTTTGTTTGAAGGGATCCCTTGAAAAATGCGTTGGAAGACGTGCATCTGAATGATACACGTTTGAGGTTGCTTACATGTACATGCAAAGTACATCTCAAGGATCAATGCTTTGGCACTTTAAACTTATGCACAGATGTGCATCAAACCAGATTGGTTTAAGCATCAATTCAAAGATTTATGAAATTTTCAGAATATATTTTATGGCAAGTAGCACCAATTTTTTGTTACATTTTGTAAAACCTACTCATTGTCTTTGTTTCTTAGCAGCAAGTTGTACACTGGTCAGATATCAGACTAAGATCCAATTACTGCTCTCTGACGAGACGTTGTACAAACGATGTACATTTACTGGTACATTTTCAAGTGCATTTGATCAAATTTTGTCTGAAAGGTAGGGTACAATTTTCTTTTCCAGGCTAGCGCACAAAAGTACAAACTGGTCATTAAGAATATATTCAATTGAAAATCGCAAATTTTGATTGCATCAGAGCTAAGGTGAGGATCTTTCAGGACTCTCAAAGACATTCAAAGTTAAATGTCTTCATTTTAATATAAAACTTATTCTTTGCATACGGAAAAAAAAACAAGTGGATATAAGGCATGACATTTTGCTTTTACACGTAGCTTTCCACATTGTTCCATGAGCAAAAATATAGTGTAGCTTTTGCTGCAAGCCTAGATATACAAAGGCTTCATTGAAAGTCGATTCAGTATCACACTTTGCCTAGATTTTCAATGCAAAGAAATGAACACATCAGATCACAATTTTGTGATCACAAAATGGTCCTTTTAAGTAGACCTGGTAGGGGATTTCCCCTACGCAACCACCTATCAGGTGGGTGATGAATCTATGGGAGGCAGCAGTGATTGCTCAAGCCCAAGGTTTCATCCAATCATAGGATTGGAGTGCAGAGGTCACAACATTTGACCATGAGTTGAGTAGCAGCACTTTAAGTGCTTGCAGTGAGTGTCGAGTCCAGAAAGATTGCTGAGATTGAGTGAGATGTTTGCACACCAATACACTGGTTGCATCTCTGTATGATTGTAGGACTCAATGGACACTCATAAGAAGAGTATTGACAGCTCTTTGTCAATATCAAAAGTTTATGAGGACTGACCAATTCCTAGAATTGTCCTGTCAATGCCTTGATCAAATTTTGATTACAGATGACAAATAGCAGATTTTTTGTTTCTCTTACTTTCTTTTAAGTGCCAAATTGAGGCTAATTGGTATTGCCACAGACTGAAGACTATAATGTACAATACTGTTTTCCTGTAATGCAGACAGATAGCGTTTACTCCTAGCCATGAGATACACATTTTACCGGTGGGTTTAGCAAGCAATGAGGATGTACACAGTGCATGAATTCATTCTACAAACTTCAATTAAACTTACCATGGATCCATCTGGCAGGACTGGCTCCCTGTGTCTGACACCACAGCTTCTATATGTTAGGATGCAGGGGGCCTGTTAGTCCACCACATCTTCCATCTGGCCAGGAAGCAGCATGGTTCTCCCCCTCTGCACACCAGGACTTCTCCCCTACAATTTGAAGAGTTTGGCCTTCTCTCCTTTTTCTCAGAATTTCTGAATTTTTCTCTCAATTTCTGATTTTTTTTTACTGCTGTTCTGATGATAAATATGATGGCACTGGCCCATTCTTTGATTTATTAGATAGACTTCGTTTCCGTTGTGTTTTCATAAGAGCTTTTTTTAATTTTTAAAAGTCACATTTAAGTTGCTTTGAAATAAGGGATGTTTTTCTTTTTTTCACTTTTTTTCTCTTTTTTTCTATTTAACCAAAATCGAGTATTTTGAATGACACAATACGGAAAGATAATATTTGAGGCAGGGAAGCTGAAATTTAGGAGTTTTGAATATTATTAGTTTTTTTTTGTAGGTTTATCAACTCATGTGCTGCCAAAAACTCAAACATTATTTTAAGTTTGCAAAGATTAATTTAAGTGATACATCAGATGCTGAATTTAGAGAAGATTTAACTATTGATACAGTTAATTTTAATGGATTTCTATTTGCTATTATTTCCTTACAATTTTCATCCGTGCATGTCTAAGATTTGAACACACTCTATGAGAGAACCGATTGTACATGATGACACAATAAAAGGCAATGAGATTTCAGAGTTATACCATGGAAGTTATTCACATAAATAGCGGCTGAAACACCTGTCCGAAAATCAAACCGCATTGAAGAACATCAGATATACCAGCAACAGTACCCATTTGTTAGCAGATCATTTGGATCAACATGATGCCATGGAACTATTGAAATGCAAGCAGGACATCAAGAGTAGATGCTCGATTGATCTCTAGATTTGCAATCTCCAGATTGATAGATGGTACATAATTTCCACAGCAACACTCGGTAAAGAAACAGCCAAAAAGACATCTCCTTTGCAGAAAGGCAAACTGATTGTCAAAGTTCAAAAGGATCCTTACCATGTTGAAGTCAACCAAGTCATCCACGATTATCCAGACCACAAGCTCAGGAAGTTAGCACACACCTTGAACAACTGACCACTCGCCAATGCAGATAGGGACGACCCACCAGACAAGCCGGCATCTGCGGGCGGGGAACACCACACGTGCACGCCCCGGGGGGACTTGCATGCGTTGGGCTCGAGCATATCATTACATTGCCTGTTGGTTAAACGTCAAGTATATTGGTTGGTTACTCAACAAATTATCATAAAAGATTATGTAATGTACATGTATGTACAGCCAGCACTGGAAGCATCATTTTTTTTTCTGTTCATTTTTTAGTGCGAGGATAAACTTTTGATCATTAGCACTCAGTAAGTAATGAACAGTGGTTAGCATTTGTTTTTGTATTGCTTGACAAATGAACAAGTAAAAACTGCTTTCTTTAGGTTGTCAACATGCGCGCTTATGCAAAAACAGCTTCGTGTAAAGGAAACTGTCAAATAACAGTTATTTTTGCTAGTTGTGAGTGTTTTCGCTTTGAAATGGAAAATACGCAATTTGCAACTTTTTGGAAATGTGTGAGTAACGCCAATATTTTTCATTCACAGCCAAACTTTGTCTTAATTCATTGGACCAGTGCTGGCTATACTTGATAAACAAAAGCTGGGTACAAGATTGGCACGGCTGCTGATAGTAGTCGCTAAGTTATGATGTACTGGAAAATGGATCAAGGATTTTGCAAAACTCATTTCTGAAGACAAATTTGGAGATATAGAAACAAAACCTTAATTTTGTATATTTGTTGGCAACATTGGATTTTTTGACAGAGTATTTCCAGCTCATAGTTTTAACGCAAGGAAATTTGGATTTTGGGGAATCTAAAAATGTTTTTGATTTAAATTTGAACCAAATTTTAGTCTAAATGAGAGATTCAATACAACAATTATCAAAAGTTTGGTCCAAAGAAGTGGGTTCAAATTGCGCGCAAACATAGTTTGTTTTTAAAGAATTTTGTTGGAGAGAAACCAATCTTGCACCCAGCTATTACCAATCAGGCAATGCCATTAAGAAATATTTCAGATTAAAATATCAATTCAACGTAACCAGCTCTCTCTGTTATAAACATTGTATCATAAACATTTCTCTACGAGGATTTTCTGCATTTTGAGCAGTCTTTTGTTTTAGCAAACATTGTCTAAGAAATAGTTTGATTCTTTCAAAAATGCATGAAACAAGAATGCAACTTTAGGAAATTGAAATGCAGCGCTTAAACTGTCCTCTTTTTGCAATAAGTGACTATTTCAAGCTAATGAATAGAACTGAATTTGGTCCATGAAACCATTGCGTTATCACTTTTATGAACTGCGCTTGAACAACTGACTGCTGTGAGAGGCTGGTTACGTGGCATTTGTAGAGGCCTCTCCTCCATGTTCATGAACTGTGGTTTGATTTGATCTCAGCTATGAGTGTCATCAATTGTATATCCACCAAAAAAGAAAAGCACATTTTGAAGGCTTTTCTGCAACACTTTTCTTTGCAGACAAAATTTTAGAGGATCACGTCCAATTTTTTTTTACATGATGACTTTTGTGCTAATTCATCATCAAATGTTGTGAACTACAAATTTTGCATCAGCTTTTCAATATTTTTGACATCTTTCAAGCTGTGGTTACCCGAGGCAACCCATTTTGCATAAAGGCCACAGAGGGGATTTCTGAAGTCCTCTAGTGACGTTGAGGAGAAAGAGACCTCTACTTTTTAAATATAAGATGTCTTTTCGAAAGAGTTCCATTTCAAACGAGTTCCGTTTCGAAAGAGTTCTGTTTCAAAAGAGTTCCGTTTCAAAAGAGTTCCGTTTCAAAAGAGTTCCGTTTCGAAAGAGTTCCATTTCAAGAGAGTTCCGTTTCAAAAGGGTTCCGTTTCAAAAGAGGTCCTTTTCAAAAGAGTCAATTCATAAGAGTTCCGTTTCAAGAGTTCCATTTCAAAAGAGTTCCGTTTCAAAAGAGTTCCGTTTCAAAAGAGTTGTTTCAAATCAGCTCCGTTTCAAAAGAGTTCAGTTTCAAAAGAGTTCCGTTTCAAAAGAGTTCCGTGTCAAAAGAGTTCCGTTTCATAAGAGTTCCGTGTCAAAAGAGTTCTGTTTCAAATCAGTTCTGTTTCAAAAGAGTTCCGTTTCAAATGAGTTCTGTTTCAAATCAGCTCGTTTCAAATGAGTTCTGTTTCAATTCAAAAGAGATCCGTTTCAAAAGAGTTCCATTTCCATATAGTTCAAGTTCAAGAGAGTTCCATTTCATAAGGGTGTATTCCACAAGTCAGTTCAGAGCTAAGGTATAATCTCATGATGGGTCCGATGGTGATCTCATGATCTCTGGCGTGTGACTAGTCCATGTATTATTGCTCTCATATCTCAGCAGTTCTCTAAACATTTGGGCCAACCGTTGTAGATACACAGGTTCGGGAGTGGAGTGTCGAAAGTCACACTTTCTCAAATCAGGGAAAAACACAGCTTTCTCAAGACGCTTCTGAGGACATCCATGCGTCCAGCAAAACAAAAATTTCACATCTCACGACACACTGAGATTGAGAGTAGAAAGGTTCCAGGTGATTATTATGGAGGGAGACAAAATTGTTCTTGTACAAGTCCTGCTGGTCGTGTTGTAGCTCGTGAAGTCCATGTAGTCAATATGCAGATCCAATGGAGATGTACATGTACAGGGGAGTATCTTTGAAGAGATATCAGTGTTGCTGAATGGCATCTCAAAACAGCCAAGCAAGAGAGATCTCCAGATCATCTCAGACTGTTTCATGTTGGCTTTCAGGAATCAGTGGTTGTGATCGGTAGTCAGATTTCCTGCGACTGAAACTGGGCAGCTCATCCGATCCAATGCTGATTGCTTGCAAGTCAAGGGGCAGCTTGCTGTAGTGACATCCAGCAGTTTGAGAAAGATAAACTTCTGCCTACTGGAGGTGTTTCTTGATGTCAACTTGTAGGTTTTTTTGTTGTGCAAATCCTGCTGGTCGTGTTGTAGTTCGTGAAGTCCATGTAGTCCATATGCAGATACCATGGAGATGTACAGGGAAGTATCTTTGAAGTGATATTGGTGTTGCTGAATGGCATCTTACAACATCCAGGCAAGAGAGATCTCCAGATCATCTCAGACTGTTTCATGTTGGCTTTCAGGAATCAGTGGTTGTGATCGACAGTCAGATTTCCTGCGACTGAAACTGGGCAGCTAATCAGATCCAGTGTTTGTTTATAGCAGCTTGAGAACAATGAACTTCTGCTGACTGAAGTTTGTGATATCAACTTGTAGGCATTGTGGGCAATCAACCGTGCTGGTTTAGAAATCACTCCAGTCTGAGCTGCCAGGGTGGTGCTGGGTCGAAGAATCTGTGTTAAAAAAAGGAAACGAAACAGGAGGTTTACAAATTTGCCAGGAGACTACAACATCTGCAAACAGTTTCAACTGCTATGATCATAAACAAAGGCACAACAAAACTGACTTCTGGAGACATCAAAGGAAAAGCATTTAAAAACGTGGCTTTACGTTTGGTAGGAAAAACACACCTCTAAGGATTCAAACAGAAAGTCATTGGTTGTTAAATAAATAACAATCGATGGAGTCCGAAGATAAGTCCGTTTTGAAAGACCAAATCTTAAAAGCCCGTTTTTCACGTTTCGTCTAGTGTTCGTTAACAATTGAGGGGGCTTTGTGGCCCATCAGTGGCCGGTAGACAGTAAGTTTCTGCTTCAGTGACCTGTTCTTTGAACTGGTTTCAGTCCTTTTGGTTTGAAAATCACAGGCGTGTGAAAAAAGGCACACCTGGATTTTTCTAGGCGTGTGATTTTTTCAGGTGTGTGATTTTTCTAGGGGTGTGATTTTTCTAGGCGTGTGGTTCCATGGACCAAACTGAGACTGAACAATCATTTTGTTATAATATTCATCTTCATTCTTGGTTTACAGTAATGCCATTTCAGGAGCAACTGCAGTGTGCAGTACAGAGGGATTCAGTCATGAGATACATGTAATTCTCAATTCTCCGGAAGTTTTTAGGTGTGTAAAGCCCGGTTCATACTTCATGCGAAAGCGAAAGCGAATGCTAAAGCGAATGCGAAGCGAAGTTGACGTCATGAAACATTCGCTGCGAAATACGTCCGTGTTGAAATGTGTTCAACTTTTGCAAATTCGCAGGGCGAATACTTGCCATGTCGTCACAAATTCGCGTTCGCTTTCGCGCCGAGTATGAACCGGGCTTTATGGCGTGTGGGAACTATCACACGCCTCAAATCAGAAAGACTGTTGTTTTATACAGTATTCACAGTAAAGTTAAACCTAACCCCTTAAACTTCCTCAGGACTACCCTGCTAAATCCAACAGAGTCCAACCAGACTTTCCTGTTCAATCCACTGTGCCTTATTTTCAGTTGTCTGCTGAATCCAATGGAGTCCAACAATGCGTTATAATGCGGTTCAGTTGCCTGCTGAATCCAATATTTTACATCAGGAATGTACACAAGGGCTTACTGCTCAATCCAACAGGCTCCATTAGTCAGTTGCCGTGTCACGCGTAGCTGCTCTATTTTCTCGTCCACACAACTGATAGCAACGCGAGGCCAGTGAACGATGGCCATAAAAGGGCTTCAGAAAATTCGCAATTTTCATAGCAAACCACAACCGATCCAAACAAACAAAGTTGTTTTAGGTAGTTACAGACTGTCTTCATACATCTATCAAGGTATTTTTTTCTCAAAAAAAGGATTTCGCTGCATTTTGACGATATTATTTCACGGATAAATCGACTAAAAATTAGGTCATGAAATTTCCAGTTTTTTTCGAGAACGACAAAAGTCTCCCAAATGTTGAGGTAATCAAACGAAAGAGTGAATCTACAAAAAATCTCCTGAACGTGCTGTCATTAATATTTTAAGAATTCGATATACACCTAATGTTTCCAACAACTTCCATTTTTCACAACGCGAATAGATCGTCGCCATTGTAAAGCATAGAGCGAGGAACCCAAACACGGTGTGACCTTGTGACCCATACGCCCACTGATTGGTCGAACTCGCGCTCGAGTATGGCCTGCTTAATATTCATAAGTCATTCATTGCGCGAATAGCGCGTGCTATTCACAATGTTTTCAGGCAAACGTACGTTTACACGAGTACATTGTGATTGCAAATCATGAAATCTCACAAAAGTCTTCATTTTTCAACTGGCGATTTGGACCAAACATTAGAAGTCTTCTGCACGTGTTTCACATGAAAATGAAGCGTTTACTTTCCTCTATCTACTGAGCCTTGCCATTTGTTTCGGCCTTTTTTAAGAATCGAATGAACACCTAAAACCTATCGGCCCTCGATTTTGTTGATTAAAAATATGATTTTGTTTGACAGGCCATAACAACACTTTATATTTGTCAAAAGCAGTTATTTTTGTTATCAAAATAAAGCACACGATTTCAACTTTTCACTTATTTAGCCATCTTGGCTTAACAGTGCATGTATTAAGGCACATTTTGTGTTTTTCTGTAGTCTCGAATAAATCTTGTAAAATCTCGCGTACGCTTTTGGGCCATGCGTGCTTGACCTCGGGACGAGAAACTGAGGTCAAACAGGGCTGTGTGCCTGATACGGCCACTGACTGCCATCGGGCATGTGACATAGTTGGATCCTGTTGGAGTCAGCAGGGTTAGGGTTTTAACAGGAGTAAACAGACTTCAAGTACCGGTACTAATAAAGTGAGAATTGCAAGCACTTACCATGCCTGTGTAGTTCCTGTTCCTGTGATAATCAATGACAGTTGAGGAAGGTTAGCTGGTTAGGCCAGGCTGGATACGTCTACCATCCGTGTGTGGGTTCAAGATGGTCTTCATTGTCATCTGTTATCCAACAAAGAAATTACAAAACAACATTTTATTCACATGTATCAATCAATTTTGGAAATCACAATTTAAACAACAGTTTTTCTTGTCTTCTTGTTATGCGGTCTGCAGAATCCTTAAATGAATGCATGGCACGCCTACAAAATAACATAAAATACAAGAGATATACATTTTTAGCCATTTTGCCAAGCAGCTTTAGGAAATTAATCTGAGCTACACTACATGTAGCCTTGGTCAAGGTGTATGACGATAGAGTCCACTGATCGATGGTTTACCGCGAACAACAGTAGCTGTATGCTGTAGGCCTTTTCACACTATGAAAAATATCCGTGTTGTACAGGTACGCGGGTTCGACACGTGTAAACTAGACTGACATTTTCACACTACAACATTTGAACACGGCACTGACCCGTGTAGAGCACTCGACCCGTGTCGAAACTAACCCTGCTCGGGAGGTGGGTTGAGAACTCTTGATCCGTGTAGAGACGTCCCACACGTGTTGAAAGCCGTAGTATGAACACTTCTGGGTTACGTTCGACCCCTGTATAACAGCGTATCGACTTGATCATCGGATCGGATTGCGTGCATCCAGCACTGTAGTTGTTACGTTTTAACAACGAACATATAAACTAACCTTTGACCTGCTGTCCTGCCACGCCACCAACGGTGTGATGTGAAAATCGGACTCGAAAGAAAATCGGATTCCTTTTCCCTTTTTATTGGTTAAACCCTCTCACGTGACTGGTCCCTCTCCTAATTATCTATGCATGAGCATGCGCAATACCACCAAAGAGTCCGTATTTCATAAGACCTAAGTTCACGCTACACCTGCCGACCGCGCTTGCATTTAGCAGCCAACCACGCTTGGTTTTTTCGTGCGTTCTTCGTATAATTTCGATGGTGCTAGAAGTTCACAAAATATTTTATGCTCCGATGTAACACGTCCGAGAAAAGGGGCCTGAAATCAGAAAAAAAGACTGACATGAAGTGCTAGTGTGTTGGAAGTGAAACGGGTCCGTGGTTGGGCTGACACGTGTAGGGTGACGGGCCGTGTGTGTAGCGTGAAACGATTGCACAATACACAGGTCGAAACATTACACGTTTCGCAAAAATGCTGGTGTTGCGTTGAGTAGTGTGAAAACGTAGCAAATTTGAAACATGTTGAAATTTTAAGAAGTCAACACGGGTTGGAGCCGTGAAGATTCCGACACGGATCGGACGCACATAGTGTGAAAAGGCCTCAAGCTGCTCAGGGATGTTCCAAGGCGTTAGTTCAGCACCGGCTGATTTGCATATCATAGCCTAGCCCCGTGAGGCCGCTTTTCGCAACTTCGTACAGTATGTGTGATTGCATAGCATGCAGCTACTGTTTTGCTTGCAGCCGACCATCGATCATTGGACTCTATCATCGAACGCCTTGACCAAGGCTAGAGGTATACATGAATGATTGAGCTTGGGTCACACTTTTATCAATCATTTCATGTACATGTACCACACAAAGTCATACCCCCAAAATGTATGTTTTGTTTTTTGTGTGGCCAATAACTCTGAATTTTAAGTTTGAGAAACAGGCACCAAAAACAGATATTAACACTAACAGCCCATTCCTTGAGCAGATATTACCAAAGTGATGCAAAATAAAAACTAAAATCATTTTCTAACAAGATCTATTCTAGACGTGATCCGCAGATAAAGTGATTGATGTAGTTACATACCTATAGAAGTACATACTGTCACTGCAAGCCATGCTTTGTGCTGACGTGAAGCTACATGTATTGCATCACATTGAAGCGGCTGGATGACAACTTGACAAGTCTGATAGACCTGCAAGGGGTTCAAATAAAGAAATGGGCGAAAGAGTGAATAAATTATAAAGTGAAGACTTTTACAGGACTTGTTGATGTTAATTTGGGCAATAAATTAATTTGCACAAAATCAGACAATTACATGAAAAAGTCTTAAGAAACTAACAAAACAATTTTGGATTTTGTAGGATTCTGCAATGCAGAGTAATTTATTCATTTTTTTTGTTAATATAATGTTTGAATGCTCATCAAAGTTTAGGTCTTCCTTCACGAGATTCTGCGAAGCTCATCAGCACCCTTACCAGCGCCCTGATTGCAGGGCGGGGGGTACGAGCAAAGCGTCGCAACAGTATAATTATTAAGAATCAGTGAACGAGGATGCAGCTAGACTTGCCAAACGCAGCCGGTGCGCAGCATCAAAAAGACTGTTATCTTGTCGCGCAATCTAATAAGAATGTGCGCTCAATCTGGAAATTTTTTTTTTGGAAGATTGAGCAAGGAATGAAGGGGTGTCGGACACTTCGCCCCATTTCCACGTCGCCCCATGTCACTTCGCCCCTAACCACTTCGCCCCATCCCCACTTCACCCCATCCCCACATCGCCCCATCTCCGCTTCGCCCCATCCCCACTTCGCCCCATCCCCGCTTCGCCCCATCCCCACTTCGCCCCATCCCCACTTCGCCCCATGTCGTATGAAAAACGGGTGCAGACCAAATCCAGGTCGTTAGTGTGACGTCACCTCCAGCACTCTCTGCACGATTGGAACCGGAAGTAAACGCAGTTCGAGCGTTTGCAGCCAATGGGTGCTAGTAATCAGTGGTGCGTGCGCGGGTATGACGTTTTTACTAACGAGCCGGATAAACTGCCAAAGACCCCAGATAATAAATGCTCCCAATTCTAGAAACTTAGGAAAAAAACAAACTCTTTGATGAGGTGCTCGAGACACAGATGAGAGAAATGATGGCTCTATCCCATTCAGAGACGCCTCTCCTATTGGCTTGTGAATAAAATCATCAGCCGCTGGATTCAAAAGAATCCGTAGGTAGGCCTATGGGTCAGTGAGTTAAAAGGAACTCACTGCCTTGAGGAAAATGTTCCGTCGAAATTTGTCTGATATGTGTCACTTCCAACTTCATTTAGATGAGATTGGTTCCTCCAACAGTGAAATTAGGATGTCAAAGGTATTGTCGTTCTCAGATAAGTGGGAGACGGGTTGGTATAGCCGGGTTGGGAACAAAGTTGGATCTTTTGCTTAAAGCTTTTTTCTCGGTAGGGGAGAGCCTAGCTTGAGAAGTTGGTTATGAATTGTTCATTTGGTGATGGGCTAATTCTTTCCGTTGGTTAGCAATTAGTGAATCTGTTGAAATTGTTTTTTAAGCCAAAAAAAATAGATGAGATTTTTTTTTTTGCATGTAACGGCTGGGGCGAAGTGGGGATGGGGCTATGTGGGAATGGGGCGAAGTGGGGATGGGGCGAAGTGGGAATGGGGCGAAGTGGGGATGGGGCGAAGTGGTTAGGGGCGAAGTGACATGGGGCGACGTGGAAATGGGGCGAAGTGTCCGACATTCGAATGAAGGATCCTCCAATTGCGCAATCATAAGAATGCGCATGCGCATTCTTATGATTGCGCAAATCACAAGAAAGCGCACAACAGTTAGTCACCAGGGGGCCAGGGTGAACTTTCAGCCTCTATGGCAAGTGGTAATGAGGCGAAGTGTAGCCCGACTGCGTCTGGCCGTACAGTACTATAGCAAGCTCTGTAGTACGGCCAGACGCTGAATGCTTCCAAAAAGACTGAATTTTTTGGGCCGCTGATGTAGCGATTTTGCTACATCTTTTGATCGAGATTATCTTTTCATCCAGGACAAAAATTCCCACAGTTAAGGTTCTTAGTCGTAGAGCAACTCATACCTTTTCGAAAAAACGTTCTTTGGTCTCAATATTTTCATCCATCTGGCCAAAAGACGACTTTCAGTCATCATCTTCCACAAATATCGTCCCGAAAATGCTCCCCCATGCGATTTCAAAATGACGGCCGCGCTGTAACTCATGAATATGCATAAACAGTCTGTGACGTATGACCTCGTGTTTTTGGACGTGCGTGCGGTGGGGCCGTACGTACATTATGTACATGTACATTACTTGTAGACAACAGCCCAGTACGTGCATGCACACCGCCGTGCGGACGTACGTGTGCATGCACGTACTGGGCTGTTGGAAATTTAACCTTAACTGTGGAAATTTTTGTCCTGGATGAAAAGATAATCTCGATCAAAAGATGTAGCAAAATTGCTACATCAGCGGCCCAAAAAATTCAGTCTTTTTGGAAGCATTCAGCGTCTGGCCGTACTACAGAGCTTGCGATAGTACTGTACGGCCAGACGCAGTCGGGCTAGGCGAAGTGGTTCAGGGTGAAATGACATGGGGCAAACTGGAAATGGGGCGAAATAGAAATGGGGCGAAGTGACCGACTCCCGCTAACAAATTGGTACGGGCCACGGTTGGAGACCCATACGTCTCTATTATTAAACCGACTGCAGATATGAGAGAAATGAAAATATTCTATGTCACACTATACTCACATTTATGGCGGTTATATCGAAAAGTTTGGCATTGGTGTGATACAAAAAATGAGAAATCTGCAGTCAAATCTGCCGCTAAATTTTGTACAAGATGGCGACGAGGAATTAATTCGTTAGTTCGAGAATTAGGCGCGGCAGCTAACCGTTATCCGTTTATTTCACTTCTCCACTAATTGCACATGCTACGATTAGACTGGTTTGCAGTCCTTCCATTTTCGCAATGAATTGTGCTATGATAACGCCCTCTGTTGGTGTTGTGCTGCATAAGGCAAACTGACAGAATTGCTTTATTATTTTGTTTTCGATTTATGAAGGCAAATACAATGATTTTATGTGATTAAATTGCTGAAACTTGTTTGTATTATTTCAAATCTGTATCTGTTAAATATGATTTGAATGTGACTATCAAATTTTACATTGCACTACCATGGGCGTCGCCAGGATTTTTTTTCTAGGGGGGGAAAAGCACACCCCCCCCAAAAAAGAAATTCTTGTACTTTCTCTAGCTTATTCTCAATTTATCAGTTTTCGAGGGTGGCTGGGGGACATTTGCCCACCCTACCCCCATTGACATCCCTCCATTTTGTTCAGTGCGTATTAAATTAATAGCAATAGAGCCTATGACTTAACAACTCTTTTTTCCCCCTCTGTTTTTTTTTGCTCTTTTTTTTTCTTTTCAAGGGGAGGGGCAAGCACCCCTTGCCCCCCCCCCCCCCCCGCGACGCCCATGTGCACTACCTTGTATGGATGGGAGAATTTGCAATTTGTTGGAAATATTTTAGAGACTCATTAAATTGATTAAAACAACAATCTTTTTTTTTTTACTTTTGACTATCAGATTTTCCGATGATAGAAAATTACTCGTGAAAAGAAGTATTAAAAACTAATAAAAACAAAATAGTACTAAGGCGAGGGTCGCAATAAATGTTGTACGTGTATCTATCACTGGACACAAAAGCCGTGCAACATAGGGCCACCTTGAATAAAAAGGATGCATCAGGCTTTTTGTTAAATATTTGTTAAAGAAAAAAATCCGACTTTACACTATTCCGGTTTTCCCCACCCACCACACCCCCACGTGTAACAGCTGTTTTTTGTTTTTGTTTTTTTGTTCTTTTTAAAGCTTTTTCCCGTCCCCCCCCCTCAAACTACGCCTTCAATGAGCATCTGTGATAAGTAAGATGAAGGTGAAGTAGCGCTCTGAATATTTCCTTTTGAACTACTGAGTAGGCAAGTCACGTACGGAGTTCTAACTTTAGCCCACCGATCCAAATCGGACGTAACATTCGACACATTCAGCTTAGGGTCAAGTCCCAATTATGACTCATGCTTAAATCGACCGGGTCCCGGGGACAGGAAATGTTTACTGTTCGGGTCCAGCCTTGGGCGTGGTATTTCAGATACAGCCACTCAATTCTCTTGTGAACTTCCTCCCCAGCCCTGTGAGGCAGTGGCGCACCCAGGATCTTGCTGGGGGGGGGGGGGGGGGGGGGGGGGGGGGGGGGGGGGGGGGGGGGCTCTCACAATATTTTTTTTGGGGGGGAGGGGAGATTCGCTCGTACCCCCGCCCTGCAAACAGGACGTTGGGATACTCTGATGTGCTTCACAGAATCTTGTGAAGGAAGTGGCCTATGACCTACGTACAAAGCATCTGGCTGCAGCTGTTCAAGACCGCAGTTAAGACAATGTGCGCAAATGCTATCCGAAAACTTCCCATAGAATTGCACACATTGCATACCGGATGAGATTTCTGTTTCATTGCGGACCATGTGGACAAAATTTTGAGCGTCGCATAATGCAATCCGACCGTTCGTGATTCGAAATGGAGCCTGAGCGAGTGACGGGAATTGTAAATTTACGACACAGATAAGTTTGATAGAACTTCCTACATTATTTCGCTTTTCAACGAGAAAAAAAAACATCTCTAAACTGGAATAAAAGAGTAATGAATCAGTCTTAACGGCCGTTTCAAACCTTGCAGAGTCATGACCTTGATGACGCGCAGGTCACTGTCCACGCAAAATCTAACCAATCAGAGCGTGAATTCATCAGAGTATCCCAGCGTCCTGTTTGCGGGGGGGGGGGGGGGGTACGAGGGAAGGGGGAGAGACCTATTTTGACGTTGGTGGCGCCACGTACACCCCTATTATACTACTCGAAAAAAAGCCCACATATATTATCACCAAGGTAATTGTGGGCCACTGCCGTGAGGCTGTGGTGCAAATTGCGTGCCTTGAATCAAGAGCACGACTTTTCAATAACCTGTACATTCAGTGGAAGGAGAGTTTATTTTTGCGTAATAATAAAACATTATAAAACGCAACCCGGCGCTGTTGTCCCCCCCCCCCCCAAAGACATTTACAGAAAGTATCCATCTGTTTTAGCATAGTGAAAACCACTAAGTCCGATTCGTCATGCAGAAATTATTGTTGGAACATAGCGGTTAAAATATGGATAAAGAAAGTTGAAGTGCAGGTTTGCGTATTAAAGGATGGGCGGTGCTCTCTTCAAAAGGATAAACTGTGACAGAAACAGTTTCCCGGTCGGAAATTGGAGCGTCCGTTGAATTATTCTAAGCAAGTGCGCCTGTGCGTGGTACTATGAGGTCACCCTTGATGATGAAGACAGTACAACTTATATGCTGTGTAAATGTCGAGACATTCTGCAGTTTTTCATACGTTATGTACATCCTTCAGTGTCTCTATTTCGAGAATATTCTGTCACTCCCATACTACTTCAAATGTCAATTGACGCATATAGGTAAGTTTGACATTATACTTTCGTATAAAAGATACAGATATCAGATAATTAAATGCCACACACAGTGGATTTGGTTCACAGAAAATGTCATCGCAGATTTGTCCTTTGAAAAAAATATAGGTAGAATAACAAGCAATGGCAGCCATTTTGAAAATGTTGAAAATGGCTTTTTGTACCTATGTTCAGTTTTTAAAGGACAAATCTGCGATGGCCCTTAAGCCAAATATCTTTCTGACTGTGCGCCAAATGCCATGCTTGTATCATCAAAGGCACAATCCCCCAAATATATATGTCCCCTATCTGTCCCACTAATAGTGCTTGTGTATGACGCCTGATATTTGCTTCAGATGTTATTTTTGTTTTAGGTGAAGGTCGCTTTATCTTTTGCGCGAAGGGGAAAAAGCGAGTCAAATTTTCTGTCGTCAAGGCGAATTTCCGGAGTTCAAATTCGCAAAAGCGACGACATTTCTGAACTACGGTTATTTTTGCCGCGAGAGTTTCTTTGTTATCAATGGGGTTATCAAACAATCTTGTTTTTTTTATTCCTGGTAATTCCTAGATGAAGTATGGCAGAGGCTGCAACAAAGATCGCACTGGGACGGATAAGTCAAAGCCACCTGGAATGTCCAATCTGCCGCTGTCGCTACACTGATCCGAAGATACTGGACTGCCTGCACACCTTCTGTCTGAACTGCCTTGACAAGCTTGTCAGCGGTGAACAGCAGCAGCAAAACAAGATCAGTTGCCCACTGTGCCGGCAACTCACGGACATCCCGGACGCGGGTTTACAGAGTCTCCAAAACTGCTTCTTCCTCAAGTCCCTGGTGGATGAGTTCAGCAAGCAGGAGCTGCTGCTGGGACACACCTCGGTGCAGATACCGACTTGCCAGCAATGCGACGAGGGCTTGGAGGCGGTGGCCCGGTGCCAGGACTGCGACGAGAACATCTGCAGGAAGTGCCAGGAAGCCCACGGGCGCTGGAAACGCACCAAGAATCACCAGGTCGTCACGGTGGAGAGCCTGATGAACCACACCGGTGGCCCGCTGATCGAGGTTAGAAAAACTGACAGCCAGGCCCCAAAATGTAGGACCCATCCCGATTACAGAGTCTGTTTTTACTGCTCTACCTGCGAGATGTCCATCTGCGCCAGATGTGCAGCAGTCGAGCACCGCACGGACGAACACAAGTACAGTGAAATCGCCGACGTCGTCGGATCGCTGAGGAAAGACGTCGACGAGGCTTTGCTAATGTTTGAAGATTGCAGAGAGAGATTTCAAGTCGCCCACAGGTCTACAGAGCATGCGAGGGACAGGTTAAAGATGATGGTTGAAAGGGCTTGCCAAGCTATTTCTGCAAAAGAGGAAGAAGAGATTGCTAAGATTAGAGAGAAATCTCGCAGTTTGAGAGAGAAGGTCGCGGAGATCGGTCGGGGGAGGGATGATAAGTACGAAGAAGTACTCGCTCGCAACCGCGAGGAGATGGAGCGGGCCGACCGAGTCGTCAAGACGGTGACCGAACTGATGCAAGAAGCCGAAAAAGACGAGCTCTTGGACCTCAAACCCAAGATCATGCACAACCTGGAGTCCCAAGGGGAGGTACAGTTCGAACCTGTGCCTTATGAACTGTCATACATCGGAGTCAAATGCCAGGACGTTGTAAGCGACGTCGACCTTGCTCAAATAGTACAGGAAGAGAAATGGAAACTGAAGGAAGAGTTTGGTAAGAAAGGAGACGGGCAGGGAGAGTTCAAGGGAGCGACAGGGGTGGGTTGCCTGAAGGACGGAGGAATCGCAGTGACGGATACGAAACACCAACGGCTGACGATGCTGACCTCAACCGGTGCTTGTAAACATACACTGAGTCATGCAAAGGAAGGCTTGTTCAAGTTGAAAGCGCCCTACAGTGTGGCCGTGACCTGTGATGACCTCCTGTTGATTACTGACGTCGACAAAGTGAAGGTGTTTGACAGCGAGCTGCAGCTGCAGCATCAGTTTGTGCCATCCAAGGAGGACCCCGATTGTCGTCTGAAGAGTTACCTCAGCGGTATCTCCGTGGACACGAAGAACCGAGTAGCCGTGGCAGACAGCGGCCGGAAGGTCATCTCTGTCCACAACTTGGACGGGTCCCTGATCACCACCGTACCCAATGACATGATTCACGGCTACATATCATTCAGCCGAGAGGACTGTCTGGTCTTCACCAATTACCACGAGAGGCGGCTTCTGTGCGTGGATCTCAAGGGGAACAAAGTGTTCGATGTCGGTACCTCTGTCGGTAGGAAGTCGGCCAAGCCGATCGGTGTTTGCTGCGACGAGGCTGGGGACATTTATGTCTCGACTCACTACGGTCAGACGGGGAGCTGCGAGATTCACCACTATGACCCGGAAGGGATGTACATCGGACGCGTGGCTCGCGGACTCTTTAACCCGTTTGCGATGGCGTTCGCGACCGACGGGAATCTGGTTGTGGCTGACATGCACTCCGTTAAGATCTTTCATCGTGCGTGATTCCCAAAGTTTCTACCATATCTGGCCAATGTTCATATCGGCGATGGATGACCTAAGGGTATAATCCAAATCTGATATGATTGCTAGATTGGCAAGTTGGTCAACCGCGTTATTAGCCGTCATGTTGCATCAGCTCTTACCTGTGATATCACATTCCTATTGGGAACATACTTTGATTAAAATGATACTGTCATGAATCAAAACTACAGGCGCGCTTTAGACAAATTCTTATTACAATTTCGACACCTCAAATTAAAAATGTTAGATAAGCCACTTGACCAGCTTGGATCGTGATACGATACAATGCATATACGCAAGGGCAAAGGGACACAAAAGTCAAGACGGTTTAGGGCCAGCTACATAATGTACATGTAAATAAAAAAAATACCAAAAAAAAAAATCCGTTGATTTTGTTTTGGTTGGATTTTTATATACACAGGATCTAGGAGCTTGAAAATTCAATATTTTTCCAATATTGATTATGCTAATGTAAAACATTGACCACAATATCACAAGGATAAGTTTTAACATCCTTGGTTTTTAATCACGAGAAGAAACCTGTATCGGTTTAATATTCGCTGTGCAGTGCGCTCAAGGCTCTCTTGTACAGAAAATACAGTCATCGCGATCGACGACTTCGCTGTGGTTTTACACTTCCAATGCAAGTGTTAATATCAATTGATTTATACTGCTAGGCGGAAACTAATTAACTGTGGGACCCAACCACTTCACATTCCCTGCAAAAGAGGCAATCTTCTGTCACAGTCCGCTTTTAGCTTTCTTACAGCAATGATACCACAGCCAGTGGCTCAAGAAAGTTCGCATTAAGCGTTTACTAATTATCTAACCGAGAGTGAGTCACAGTCACGTCAGAAGACATCAATCGACGCTTCGGGGCGTTGCTTTGTTTTAAGTGATGCTGCTCTCCCCAGTTATCCATTAGGGGGATGAGATGGAAGGCGCTGCCAAACATTTAGAGAACAGGGCGATCCATGACGCTGCACACGATGTTTGATTGCCTTCATTCGTGCGTGGCTGGAAAATGAGAAGACGGGATAAGTCTTAAAAGGTTGAGAGCTCTGCAGCCAGGGCTTAACAGATTCGTCTTTAGTTTTCAAGCAGGTGTTGTAAAATGACTGGCCATGTGCTCTTGTGTGATCGTGCGCTTTTAAAATGGAATCACGCTCTGGAATCGGGTTTTGTAAGAGCAAAGCACGAAAATTCGATATTTGTTTCAAACGCAAAGAGTTCGGAATTGTCTGCACTGACTTCTGGGTCGGCATGCAGTATACTTCAATTTATCTGCTGAACATTTTTGAAACTTTGCTTCATAATATCACAAACGAAAACTGAAATCGCACCCAGGCTCTCTGTTGAATCATATTCATGTATTTAAATAAATGTACATCTCCATGCATTACAACAAACCCAGACGTTATTGCGACACCCAATATATTTGTATTTCTGGCATTTCCTTCACTTTACACACGACTCGCAAGGAAGAGGAAGCAAAAATGTATTTATTTCATGTATAAGCAACTCGCATCTTGAATATCAATTTGCACGATTACATTGAGGGTTCATTTGCCAAGGAAAACTATGTTTGATTGGAAAGCAACCCATAAATAACTCTATAAAAATACATCTCACTTAATGTCAGCATTTCCCAGGCATATCTCGCAGATGCACACATATAGGTCTATTGATAGCATAGCAAGCACTGGTTCATTGCACTGTTATACTACATGTACTTAAACCCGGAATCTATAATAATCAGGGGGATAAATTAATTACGATTTTCCATAATAATGGCGGCTATTGTAATGACTGTCAGTCTTGTTTTCAGCTTTGATATATCACTTTATTAGCTTAATTACTGTAGTGAAAACAAGAGCAGGTCCAATACAGGCCGAGGAAACAGTCCAAATTTACTAACTCGTAATCAAATAAATTTCTTCTTTTTATTTAAAATTTTCAGAGGGTGTGAGAGACTAACGCATTTCTTCTTCAAGTGTATACGAAGACGTAATTTTACCATATAGGAGTTCACTTTTTGCATCTAATTCAATGGCTGGTTTAGAGTGACGTCGCAATAAAAGCAGGCACACAAACATTTTGTCAGAAATTGCCTCAGATCGCACCACAGATAGTTTTTTTCACGCGGTAATTTTTGGACCTACTTTTTAGGGGGACCACATTTTTTTCGCCCCCCCCCCCGCCCATAAAAAGAATTGTGTTCTGGACAAAAAAAAATGTTATAGAGGCACAGAGCCACACTTCCATTTCTTGTTTTGTTTTATGTTTTGTTTTATTGTTCTTCAATTTTCATCAACAATAATTTCGATGTTTTCAAATCTTCGTAACAAAAGGAAGATATCTCCCTTGGCAACTGGCCCAACCGAGAGAGGGCGCATTTTATGCAAGTCTGTGACTCAAGATATTCATTCTTGGAAAAAAAAACACCGCAAAAGTGCAGCTGGTCAAGAGTTTTTAATCCAAACAAAGATCTGCTGTCAAGGTCGCCCTGAATAAAAAAAACCCTTGATTTTCCAATTAGTCATGGCATGACAATAAAAACCAGCACGAAACAGAAACTGACATCTGAAATATCGCGGGATTAGGCCTGCATATTTTTCGTGAATGATTGCTGGTGGTGTCAGCAAAACTCGAAATTGATTTGATATGCAACTTATTAGCCGGGTTAATTAAGGCCCGATCACTCAGCCACGGAGGTCTCGAGGACGATGTAATCCGTCAAAAAGTCATTATGTTCTATCAGTTTTGTACATACGATACGAGAAACACGATAATACGATCCTCAAACTTTACGTTGACAACGCTTGATGTAGCTGAATGATATACTTAGACGAGTTGATTAGCCTTTTGACGGGAAGTACAATGGGAAGGGGGTCATCAATATGTAGATTTACAGAGCCATTTAAGCGGGAAAGAGATTTAATTAAATCGCATCTGCTTCTACATTTTATGTTGCATGTATCGAACATTGGTACGGTTGTATACTGAGATGATATTGCCGTATCATATGTCCGAGTGACAACGGTGATTTTGTTTTTCATTATGCATCTAATAATTTGGTTGCATGGATGAATGCACTCACCATCCGGGCGAGGTTTTCGAGATTAGAGGACTTTATAAAATACAATATGTTTTATGGTTACCCTTATCGATACTGGTTGGGCCAAGCATGGCAATTGACTGATGCATTAAGAATTGAAAACAAAAACAATTAAGGTTGGAATTTTTGTGTGAACGAAAGCATCGTGATTAAAGGATATGAAGAATCATGCACGCACGGTGCTTTATGCTGGACACGTTATACAGGTGCCTTTCTGAAATTGGATGCTGCTTACTTAGGCACAACGCGAGTATGCAGAACGTGAGAAGGAAGCACTTTTCCCCGCATATGGTGCACTTAAGTACATATTCTTGATGGCTGGCGCAAATACAAATTGCCATAAGGACAGCTAACCATTGTTTTGTTAATTTCAATGAACATAATATGCCGTTTCTGCCTGTACAATTTGTTCTAAAGGCTAGAGTCAGTCTTTCAATGAAGAGCCATTTGAAAGGGGAGGGACGATGCATTAATAAACAGCCTCATTGCATGTAATGCTATTAAAATACAAAACAACAGACCAATAAAACAGTGATATGCATGGAACAATATATGACGGCAAAATACAGACATGCATAATGTTGATGCAAACGGTTTTTATATTCCAGTTTTATTTCCTCTATTTTAAGATGAAGTTGGAAAAACAATAAACGGCATCACTGTACACATTTCGTTTGGAATGTCTGAAACCTTTAGTTGTCTGACTTTTACAGCTAATTTAGGTGAAGTCTTTATCTTCGGACTCTCAGAAAGGATGGGTTTCAGTTCAATTTTTACTATACGTAAGACACTTTCAGTCAATATGCATGTGTTAAGTAATACCCGCATATATATAACATATACATGCAATAATACGGACCATACAAATTGCAAGCACAGTTGGAGTGTACTTAGACTGTTATGTGATATTGCATGCGGGCATGTACATGCATGTGAGCAGAGAATCGTATAGGAATTGCATTAATAAACCGGAACAATTTCCCCCTACCCAGATTTTGGTGTAATTTATGTTATCGTGTCCGTGTTTTCTGGACATGACATCAGTCCCATAAGTTTGTAACCGTACCCGAAACTACCACCGCAGGTATAAAATAAACGTATTAATGTTATACTGGCGAATTTCCAATGGGCACTGAAGCCGAGGGCCTGGGTGCTGCCTTTTGTTGAGAGGATTAAAACAAATGTAACGGGTCCTCAATTCATACAATGCTACTTTGAAACTCGCCTATTGCACAATGGTTTTGAATTATTAGTGGTGTCTTTGGCTGTGACAATACAATTCTTGAAATATGATGCAAAAAGCCAATTGGCGATCAAAGAAGTTCAATCCGAAAGAAACCCTTTCGGTAAATGAGTGAAGTATTTATGACAATTTTAAAAAGTAAAAGATTTAGTTTTGATGATAAAACACACATGTGTGCTGAAGCTTATACAGATTGGATAAAGCACTGTCGTTGAACGATACTACAAGACACTTGATATCCGTCAATGAGCGAAGCTTACGTGCCATAATGTAAACGACAGCTCATTCCCACGAGCACATGTAAAAATGAAACTGTTTTTAATTAAAACGATCCAGTTTTCCAGGGGCGAATATTGACTGTGCTATCAACAGTGTGTTGTTTTGATGAAGTTTCAGTCGGTGAATAACAACATGAAGAAACACAGAGCAATAATGTATTCGCGCTTTCTCTTTCTCGCATTTTTAAAGACGTATATAAACTGAAAGTTGCGTGTGAAAGAAAAGGGTCACACCTGACGTAAGCTCGTTAATTGAAATTCCATTTCATGAACATTGATGACAATAATACTGCAACAGTTTGTGCATTGCAATGCATATGCATTATATTATAAGCAACCCCATAATTAATATGCAATCTGGAGTGCTCTGCATAAGTACGCAATAAAGTTATTAGATATTTCTTGTGAGAAAAATAACACAGGATATTGGAATGTAAATCTGGTCAAAATATTTAGTTTTCTGCTTCAGTTCATGACACCATTAGATGAGCAAACATAACACGTAATTCACATGTACTTTACTGCGGTTGGAAAAAAGCCTGGTAGATTTAAATTACTTGTAACGTATTCAGTGTAAGATGTCCATGAGTAGACACAGACAACAACGGTTCGGAAAATGACATGGACTATACACAAAATAAATGCATGTACTTCAAAAAAAAACCTTTACCATAGTTGAATCTGCATAAGGGAATAATAAATGCAAATTTAATCAACAGCCTCTGTTTTGCCTTGAATTATTCTTCGGTTGACGAAATTATTAATTGTTTTTGAAATAAATGCCCAGCTGGAGCGACCTTGTGTCTGGCAATGCTTGTATAAAGGCGGTGTGTAAAAATGCGGGCATCGTCAAAAAACAACATAGAAAAGATCAACAAAAACGAAAAGAAACCAGGAATGATTAAAAAGTATAAGTATTTCGTCTGGTATATGGAGAAAAAGTAATCCCTGTTTGGAAAATATAACATTAACGTTTTTGCTCACACATACGATACCTCCTTCCTTGAATAAATCACTCACTTTGTAAAATATCGAGTTTCTTGTAATTTGTACTGATTTTACAAATTAGCCTTCAAGTTGGGTAACCGGTTCGTGTCTGTTTCAAGTACATTATATAAAACACTTACCCAAAAGTCAAGTTTAATAATTAAAGGTATCTGCACTATAGTTTTGTAAACGCTCACATACAGCAATTTCAACAAATTAAAAAAAATTGACATTCGGCAATTTTGTCTGTTTCATGTCTTCAATAAGCATCAGACGTATTCCTAAAATTCAAATCAAACGATTTGCCGAGTTCAAGGGAATGTGTAATAAAATTATGTATTGCAACGGAGCGCTGAAATCTATAGGGCTTGTAGTGAAAGACTAAATAAATTATACGATTTTATAAATATAATCGCCGAGTTCGAACAACAATAAGATTTTTTTTTCAATTTATATCACGAGAATTATATTTACGCTCTAAAAAACTGTAGTCAGTTTCGGCTGAGGAACAGTCCCATTAGCATTTTGCATTCAATGTAAATAGCTGCTGCTTGCATCTGCTTGACACAAGTTTGACTGTTTTCCAATCATAATTGACTACAGTTTTTTTTAAAGAGTTTATGAATAATTGAACTAGTTGGAGTCAGGCAAGCGAGTCCAACTCCTCCTGACTCTCTGCTCGTAGCGCGTCTACCCTGGGCCTACCCCTCGATGGAGTCCGGGTGGGGTCTGCCAGGTTCCGATCATGTCTTCGCCTGCACAACCCAAACCGTCGCAAGAAACGTTTGACTCCCTCCCGGAAAGCCTTGTTCGTGGCCCCGTAGACGATAGGGTTGCAGGCACTGTTAAAGATACAAAGCCACTGCGTAATGCCGGCCACCCAGAAGCTGGTATACTGGCACCACATGGCCTGGATGATCTGGGCTATCACGTAAGGCGTCCAGCAGACCACAAATGTACCGATGAGCACCGTGACGGTGATGGTGGACTTGCGCTCCTTGACGAAGACTTTGGCCACCTTGCGGGCGTTGCCTAGGCTCATCTTGCGGAGTGTCACCGGAGTCGCGCAGGGGGCCGGAGTGCCTTGAGTGGCCCCATCAGCTACGGACATGAGGCTGTCTGGGGTGCTGCTTCCTGGAGTGTTCGACAGACCCTGAATGGACTGGGTGGAGCCGTTCCTGGACCGGGTTGCGCCGTTCTTGGACGCCGGTGCCATCGGATTCAGCTCGATCGCCTGGCGATACCGGGCTTCCAAACGTTTTATGGTTCGTGTCATGCGAAGGATCTTATAATACGAATACACGATGACTATACCAGAGGGTAACAGGACGAGGAGGATCATGGCCCACATGAAGATGGGTTCGGTGTGCCAGAGAATATTGCACAGGGCCGTGTCTGGGACCAGCCCGACCCCCTTCCAAAGTCCGGACACGGGGAACACGGCAGCTATCGTGCAGTATATCCACAGCAAGGCACAGATGAATATCACTCGCCCGAACGTCATCTTATTCTGGTACTCGAAGGGACAGACTACGTAGAGATATCGCTCGTAGCTGACGAGTCCTAAGGAGAGTATGGACACGGAGCATAAGAGGCAGATGAAGAAACCCACAAACTGACACAGAAATCCCTGGCTGCCGCTGGGCCAGACGCAGGTGAAGGCGTAGTAGACGGAAGGAGGCTGGCTGACGATTCCAAGAAGGAAGTCCCCAAGTGCTAGATTCAAGATGACCAGGAAGGATACATTATGAAGCTGCCGGTCTGTCAGGATGACCAGGATGGTTAGCCCGTTGCCGAAGATGATGAGGACGAAGCTTATCAGGCCCAGCACAGCTTGCACGTAGCGGGCGTCCAGGTCCGAGGAGCACGTGTGATTCTCGTACAGGTCCCCGCACATCGCATCGGCAGCGGGCCGCCAGTCAGGGCTGCCCGAGGGTGACGAACTGTTCAGTCCCACCGCCACCACCGACAACGCGTCGGTGAACTGGGCCGTCTTCGGATGCCCAGTCACCGCTTCCCGTATGTCAAAACTCATGGCAACGCGATATTTACGACACTCGTTATTTAGTTACGCAGCAACGTGGCTTATGATAATTCCAGATGACTTCAGTGGCCATCATCGAAAGTGGAACCGACCAGAAGTTATTTGTGGGATATCTCTCCTGGCAGCATGGTCATGTGCTTGCTGAATTTCCTCTACTGGATATAGTTCCATTTATAACGGCATGATATGTGAGTACAAATGTTTATCTCAGAGTGATCCAAAGTGGACCGTCACGCTTTGCTGGCATGATGACGCTACCTACAGCAGATAAAGCACGTTGAATTCAAGCACACTCCAATCATTAGTCCTGGAGATTCGGTGAGACCAAAGTCTGTGGCATAATTTTTATGGAATATAACCGAGTACGGTAATCGGTCCGATACTAAAATTCCATCACTATAAAAACAGTGTTCCTGGAAGTGTCACTAGCTCACGTCTAAAACGGGTTTGGTTTTGAGGTAGAAACACAAAGCACTTTGTGACTACGATAAATTTGTGGTGTTTTGGCACAAACGCAGCGTGTTGTTCCGATGAATCAGCCAGAATACTGTAACCTTGTTTTGCCGATCGATGTATTGTTGTCCAGGGGATTCAGCCGTATACATACACAAAGTGGGCTGTAGTGTCCTCCAGATCCACGGTGCAACTGTACGGCCCGACCATGGAGGACAAAGGCTCCAAAACTACTCTCTGAGATTCGGCATGAACCTTTGTGTCGTGATGGTCATTGAAGACGCAATATACAGAGCAGCACGTGGGCGCAGGTTCCAGCGGAAGTCGTCTATTTTAGTCACTTTCTCCACAACGAAACTCCACACGAAATGACACAAGTGTCATGTGTACACACACCACCGCATAGACTGCACTTGAACCGTATGTTACATCATGAGAACGCACTCAGTGCACGGTTTGGAAACCCGATTGAACGCTTGAATTGATTTTCCCATTGTACCCGTCGGCTCGATTTAATAACACGCTGATCACCCCCATCCGGTCACCGCACGGTTGAATGAGTAACGGGCCACACTCCCTGGCCTTGCAGACGAAAAAGGGCCATGTTTTTAATATTTGCGCGATATAATGACTCATAATTAGTAAAGTGCGCATGCGCGAGCAGCGGTCACGCGTTCTGGAGGAGCTGAGAAGTTCGAGCACAGATTAGCACCACCCGTCCTTGAGCAGAGAATGAACAATAAATGTAGGCCTACCCAAACATTTACTGAAACACTTGTTGGTCAATTAATATGCGCCACTTGTCACGTGAAGGGTTGCGGATGTCAGTGACTAGTAATACTGACCAAACTTCTACATGTAGTTCCCCTCCGCAGCTATGCCTTGAGCAATACGGAAGCTATTCAACTTATTTTTAGACAATTTCTCCGAATAGGTTTGATTTTAAATACGTCGTTGTCCTGGTATTAGAAAACGAAAAGTGTCAACTTTTTAAACAGATTTTCCCTATTTCGAAACCAGGAACATCCTAATTACAATGGAATACACATGTAAATTCTAAAACTCCTGGAAATAAATGTCGGTGGAATTTTTGTTTCCAAAAAAAGTTAATAGGACAGTTTCCTCATGCACTATTTGTTCACTTGATTATCAAATTTAGTAAATCCAAACAAATTAAAAACGAGGGGGGGGGGGGATCCCCTGATCTGAACCAATCTTATTAAATTCAAGCCTGTTTCTGTTCATTTCAGTTCAGTCCACAATTACGTATAAAATATTTGCACACAGGAGGAATCTGAAAAAGTAATATGTAAATGACGGGCACAAATGAACAAACTGTCGTCGACAAATAGCAGGGAAATACTACACAAAACGTATGCTAAGTATTGCACACTCAAAGTCACACAGTCGTCATTGCAGAAGGCGCCAAGTCTAAAAGAAAATACGAAATGCAATTAACTTTGCAGTATAAACATCGGATGACGCCCACAAAAAAACCCTCACCAGCCTTTTCCTCCTAAGCATACCTCAAAGTCACTGCGTATTCGTGAGAGAGGGAAACAAAATATGACCGATAATGCAGTGTTGGTGAAAGACGAAGAGTAACGAGTGTATCTTCCCAGATTTAGTCTTGATTTCAAGTCGGTAAACCTTTCATGTTCGGTCCGCCGGCGCCGCCGATGATGATTTACCATCGAGATTCGTGTGTGTACAAGGTGGGAGTCGAGGATCGCGCACTGGGGTCGAGGATGATCACTGTTCCCCACTCAATCATGCCATGTTTGTCGCAGTGGCGTGGGGGAACTGTAAGCCCTGGCCAAACCTTGGAGAATTAACCGACTTGAAATCAAGTCGAAGCCGCCAGGTCTAATCAGACCGATGTCTGTTCTATGTCCAAAAACTGAAGGTTGTAATCAAGGGCCTGCCCGTATGGCGTGATGCCAATTACTGCGATTCTAGCTCTATGGACCTTACAATGTTCGGCATGCACAAATCCACGACCAATTTAAGGGTTCAAAGTTGAGTTAATGGCACGATATACGATAGTAAAGCTTTCTAAAACCAAATAAATATATCATATTGAACTTAAGGACGATTATTCAAATTTGAAAAGGTCGTCTGGTACAACTGACTTGGCTTAAACTACAATCAAAATCCTTTGTTCACGTTCCCAATTGGATCTATCTTAAAAGGCATTGGACCCAAAGAAAAATCCTAAGAAAACATAGCAAAACAAAAAACACAAAAAGCATGTCTTAAACATATTTTCGGCTCACTAAACGACCTTTTTTAAGGTGTGATTCGTGGATATTTTCTGCTAATATCATGTTATCACCTTCGATCACATAAGGTTGAATTTTTTAAACTATCTACCGAAATTACCCTGGCTAAACATTTCTTTTGGCGTCGCTATGAAAGTTATCAAGCTACTTTACGGAAGAGCCAATTCAACTTGCCGTAAACATCATAGCTATAGCATGCCAGTGAAGTCATGGAGCTGGGAAGTCTATTCCTTCCTCCATGGTGCGGCCAAACTAACCGTTCAAAGGCTCACAGCGGGACCGTCTGCACTGAGTCCAGATTATTGAAAACTCTTTGGTGCTTGCATCATATTTTTGTGACAGTTAATGAAAAGATGAGTCTGACGCGTCAGATACACCGCGTCTGCTCAGTCCCAAAATTGATTAACTGGTCTCGCTCTTTTGCGCAGTCCATTAAGATGAAACATGGGCTTGTGACAACCTCAATAATACGGTTTCCGGTGCAGTAACCCCGTATTATGAGAGAAGAGAAAAAAGTATATATGCATTAACAGGGCCTTTTGAAACAGAAGATTGGTGATAAACGTTTGGAAAGGAATTTTGAAGAACTATTGGTGAATGATGGATAAAATATATAGCGCCTTCTTCAAATGCGCGTGTTGTGTCTTGGCGGTGCATTGATATGTTATACTTCCGTCATCTCCCGGATGTGGGTAGTAACTTATCAAGAAATCAATCATCGTCCGTAGGAAATGGACACTAAAACCTTAAGATATATTATTCAACTTATTTGGAAGAAAGTCTTCTTGCTGTGTCTATACCTGATGCTAACGAAATACACCATATGCTATCCATTAAATTTTTGTCATGTTCTTTTCCTCAGTTCTTTATGCATTTAAATGCTGTGTGACAATAGACGGAGAAGGGAGTTGGGGCATAATTTTAACGACATTGCCAGTTTGCATAATAGGAACATATGCTGGAAACATAGCTAATATCAAACTGTACGTGAATAGCTTTACATGCAGATAATTGCTTTGTTGCCCAGCTTGCTGCACCTGTTGTGGTTTCCACCATAAGGACTCTCATTTCAACGGTTCGTCATACCAAAATCTATCACCGTTGAACATCATCATACTAGCTTTGTACAAATGATGGCAGCTTGCTTTTCACCCCAGACAGTAACGAATCGGTTGTAACCCCCCCCCCCCCGTTCAGCCGCTGACTAATGTTATGATACTAAGGTATTACTAGTAACATGGGGCCAAAACTAATAAATTTAATGCTAAAAGTTCCTAAATTTATTCTCGAATTGCCTTAGAATTCACTGAGAAGAAAGCATCGTCGATTGCCCCGGCATGCCCCGGACCCCATTATAGCAGGGCGTGCGTTCGGCACGCCTTATAGACTCCCCTTTTTTTATCACCCCACCCCGTTTCCTGAAAGCTGGAGCGCCCTGCCACGGATTTATAGATTAGAATAACACATTCAAGGAGGGACACGATGCATGCAAACATCCACTCAACCATCATGGCTGAAGCGTCGAGGGGCTGGCGGCACTCCCCCAGCAGTACGGCCATCCTGAAAGATGAGAGCAACAAAGCAACGACCAAGGCAGAGTGGTCGACAAAACTTAGCTGATGATTCAAGAGGCAGGAACGATCAATAGAATCTGGCTGAGTGGTGCATCAGAGTAGACCACAAGATGAAGAGTTAGGGCTTTCGAGAAAAGAAAGCCAGACTGAGAGCAAATCCATTTTGCTGTTCAATCCGTGTTGAACTTGACTCTACCTGGACAGTCACTTGCAGAAAAGGAGTCACCACAAGTCAAGGGTCTTCAAAAAAGCTGTTCAAATAAATGAGGTTCAGAATTTCAGACTTTTCATACCGTAATGGTTTCTTGCTTATGCATGCGTTGATTCATAAAATGGAGCATTTCACAACAACAATAATTATTGAATGCGCGGAAGAATATGACTGTTCAATAGTATTTTTAATTATTCAAATTTATGCGATTCGTGCAGACAAATACCATTAACTGTGGTGTACTGACGGCATTGAAATATGTTTCTGTGATTAAATGATGATGTCAGATTTATAACATTGCAAAAAGGTCAATGGTGCACAAGCTCCAGCGTCAGGAGGAATGGCGATATTTTCAAAATATCTAACACTGATAAGAACAAAAGAACGTAGATTGCTAGATGTATAGGTAAACATTCCGGGTGAGATAAAATGTAAATAGACACAAGAATACAACAAATACACCAATGCGTTACGTCGGTGATGTCGATCAATATTGCTACCATCTGCAGAGTTCTCGGGCAATTAGCCCGACAACAATCATATCAATATCGCTCGATCGTGGAATACGACTGGGTGTGATGCCATGCAGTTATAGCAAGATATAGATTTAAAAAAACGCGAAAAAAAACTAGGCCGGCCGTTGAACTACTTGAACTAAATGAACTAAATGAACTTTCATCACAGGAAAATATGCGACACTTATTTGTATGGCATCCTACAATTAGCAGATAGAATCAAATAGAATGTTAATTGAATGACCCACGAAGGGTAAAACTTGCATAGCATCGAACTTTGCAATGACATTCATTGGCATTACGGGGTAATCCTGTGCGATAGCACTGCTCGGCTCATGAGTGACAGTCAGTGAGTCAGTCAGTGGAATAAATGCAACGAGGACACTAGGCTGGCCCTCTGGGACCAGCAAAAATGACCTTTAATTTTAGTTTAGTCAATATCTGCCGGATGGCCTGTACTGAGTATTTATATAAAGTTGTCTGACAACAACACCTGTTGCTCCGGTCTAGCAAAGGATGTAGACCAGTAAATAGACCCAGAATTGCGTACGCGGGCCAAACTAACAATTTGTATGCCCTCAAATTCTTTGCTATTAGAGCATTTTGTGGGTCATAAACTTGAAGATTTGTAAAAAAAAAAAAAAAAAAAAAAAAATGACGGGTGGAAGCCATGCACCGGATAGGAGTGTTTGCTCGTATTTCTGAAAAATTTGCATAAATTTGGGCCCTAAATTTGCTCTATTTTGCAATGGAGCGCAGGCATCATGTTTCAAAATGGCGATGCGCCACATGACTACTTTTCGGGGTTATCATCTTTGGATGGAATTTTCTCCCAAAAGACATCGGATAATTGAACAAAAATCGAACAGAACATGAAAGATTATGAAATAAGCTTTAATTTGATGGGTGTCTTTAATACCTTAGAGAGTTGTGAGTATTTTTAATAGTTTTCGGAATACGCGTAATTATCACTGAGGTCGATGGGAGTCGGTTTGCAGGTCTGCACCCTGGTCTGCACCCGTAAGAGTGTCGAGCTACACGTTCCAGTTATTGTTTCACGTCTGCCAGCTAGACTGACCTCAAGAGGTGATAGTGTTACACATCCTCGGGGCGTGTCCACCCTTTGTGTATCGTGTCAGCTCAACATTATTGAGGAGATACGGATGAGGTTTA